AAAGGTTTAAGCACATAAAGCTGAGATCTAGGTATACCATAGTTATCGAACTTTTATTAATTCCGGTTAATTAATCAAGAGACTACCATTCGTTATCCCGCAACAACCTAAAGGTTATTTACTACAAATTTGATGATTAACTATGCACACAAATAAATAGTTGATTTTAAATTAGATTATTTAAGGGATTCCGATATGCTCATTATCTTTAACAACCACACGTAGCAAATTAAACTAAACTAAAAATAAAATAACAATTAGCACGTATATCCCCATCCCTCCCTTAGACGATCCCCAAGTTATTCATATATAGGAGAGTTTAGAGTTACACAATACCTTACAAACCGAACGAAAGAAATAATAAAGACATAATAAAATCCAAAATAGACTGCTAAACAGAAATAAACTCCATCCGATATCCCACCCTAGGCAACTCTTCGTGTCTTGAACTTGAGTTCAAAAATCTGTTAAACAAAATAATACCAAACCCAAGATCATAGCATAATAATAGTCATATAGAAACATAACAAATATTCACACGAATTTCAAATGAGTCATAGAACAAGTAAGATCACACATGAACTAACCCGGATGCTTTCTTTACTTAATAAAACCCATTTTTTGGATTTATGCATAAAAGAAATTAAATAGTGATGCAAAACAGAAAAAAAAAAGTGATGCAAAACAGAAATTAAATAAAATTATGAAGAGCACCAACCGGTTAAGCAGTTAAAATATATCAGCAATGAAGACAAGATAATTCCACACTATCCGACCCGAACACAGCAAAATCTTCTTAAAAGTTCACGCGAAAATCTTTTCAAGCGGAGAACAATATATTTTTTAGTATTTTAGTATGTGAGCCAAAAGTTGGGATGTGAGTAATGTCAAGAGGTGTGAGCAATGTGAGAGTTTCTTTTCCGTGTCTCAGATTGAGTGAGAGAGTGGAAAAGTGTGTCTGTCCTCCCTTCAAGAACGAGCGAATGGGTCTATTTATACGGCAAGGAGGGGTCAACAATTAAGGGAAAGGAAATAATTTAGAATCAATTAAAAAGTTTTCCTTATTTAAACAGAGAGTCAAATCAGATTTTAATTATAATTATTACCAAATATAATCAAGTCAAAAATCCTTTTCCGACTTAAATAAGGTAGGACAAATCACTTAATATTAATCAAATAAAAAAAATAAACAAGTAAGACCAATCCCAAAAAGGATAACTATATAAAAAATCCCGCAGCTCAAGAATTTTTCCAGGCTATACTAATTTTACCATATTTTAATCACAATTAAGGGAAAACCACCTCAACTGAAAAGGAAAGACATAATTAACAATTTACCAGTAACTATGCACAATTTAAGCAGTAAAACAGTCCCGTATGATTGCAAATTCATATGCATACAACGATGATATACCAATGACTACGGATTTCCCAAAATTGAGCATTTCAACCAATAATTTAAATATGCTAAGTGTAGGTGTCATTCCAATATTACGAATCGGTCAAGGTGAATGCAATTACCAAGCAAATTCAGTATTTTAATTCATCAAACTGATTTAAATCACAATCAAACTATAACTCTGAAATGATAAACAAGGTCAAATTATATGATACAAGAAGGGTAAACTCACAATTATGGAGTAATCAAATGCTAACATGGTAGTAGTTTACAGTCAGCAAGGGCAAGATGATAATCAAATAGCAGTTGATAATTATCTTCTATGCCTAGTATGTATAATAACTTAAAAGAACAGAGGAGCATAGTGATGAAAATATTGAAGCATTTGTTAGCAAATTGTAGGCGCCTAAATATCAAAAGATGCCCAGACTTTTAAATGAAATAAAATAAAAAAAATGAATCAGTAATAACTTAGCTTAATCATGAAACTAAGCATTTTCCAAACAAATGCAAAGACTAGTAGCAAATCGGTGAGAAGAGACATACCTGGACAGATCTAACATTTGAGAAATTTGTCGGAGCTTTTAGCTCGCTTACTTGTTATTGTAGCTGCTGGTCGGAGCTTGATTCCCCGGAGGAGGTGTTTGCTGGTTGGAGTCGGCTTGCTGGAGTTGCTGGCTGGATCTGGAGCTGCTGCCAGCTGTCTTCGTCGGCTGCTGCTGTTGCTGGTCAGAGCTGCTGCCAGCGATGGAGGCTGCTGCTGCCAGTGTTGCTGTCCGGTGCTGCTGTCCAGCAGAAGCAGCGTTGTAGTATTAGTGATGATAAAAGTTAAATAAATCATTTTTTCTATTATTTAAATTTTTAACATAAAATTTCCAATCTTTTAAAATAAAAAATAAATGTTAAAAGTAAAAATATATATATAAAAGAGTTAAAAAAGAAAAAATAAGTGATTTAAGAAAATCATATAAATAACATTAATGATGAGATGAAGATTAAGAAAAAACGTCAAATAAATTAGTAGTATTAATGATGATAAAAGTTAAATAAATTATTTTTTCTATTATTTAAATTTTTAACATAAAATTTCCAATCTTTTAAAATTAAAAATAAATGTTAAAAGTAAAAATAAAAATGGAGGCAATAATTATTTTATTAATTAAAGAAAAATATGTGTAGAAAAAGTAGAAGTAGATGAAGTTACTTTAGTTCATCTTTTTGATGGGCCTCAATATACAATTTCTATAGCTTTTAGTCCAACTCTTTAGTGCAATGTTGGTCCTCCAAACTCTCATTTCTAAATAAGAGTAATATATATATATATATATATATATATACTGAATTATGACCGAAATCTCATGGACACAATTTATCTTTATTAACCCCACCCCCACCCCTAAACTTTTTTTCTCTATATTTCTTTGTACCTTGTATGCTGACCTTGAACCATAACTCAATACAATTAGTTGTGGTGATATACACACACCACCATGTGTATAATGTGTATATATATTATTTTTAAAAAAAAATCTTCTTACTTTCTTTGCCTTATATTTAAATTTTCTCAAGTACACCTAATTTTTTATATTTATTTTGCCTTGTATTTAAAATTTTCTCAAACATACATATATATTTTTTCACTTTTTACTTCTTTCATTGTTTTCTCTCTTTTTTCAAAAATAAAATAAAATTGATTTTACTATTTCTTTTATTTTATTTTAATTTTGATTTCAAATTTAATTCCAAATATTTGAATTTAAAATAAGTTAATTTTAAATGAATGAAAAACAAAATATAAAAAAATAAAATAAAGAACACTTTTTAAATTTTTTTAACGTTAATTAATACTTCTCAATGACGGGTCTTCATATTTTATCGTTGTCCTTCTATTCCTCTAATGCTTATCAAAAAGGTGTAAAAATAAAAAGTTAAACTTAAATGACTTTCAAATCAAAAAATAAAAAGTAAGAAAATGCCATTTTTTGGGTTTAACTATTTTAAGTCATTTTAAATTATTTTTAACCTTGCCATACACTTTCAAAAGCTAAAAATAATTTAAAAGTAAATTTGACAAACTTTTAAGTCAATCTAAATAAACTCTTAATCTAGTAATTATGCTAATAAGTAATAACATAAGAAATTTGAGACAAAAGGCTTTGATAATTTTAAACTTTTTTCATTTAGCTAAATTACGATATACATAATTATTCCTTTTTTTTTTGTTGAGCAACTTTCACATATAGCAGACATAAAAATTATATTTGCATGTTATAGCTATAGTTTGCATAATTGCGCTCTATTGCAAATTTTATGTTTGTTATGGAGCTTTTGATTAGTATAATTCGCTAGATACATCCAATTTTATATAAATTGTTTAGTTTTGTATAAATTTATTTATACATTGTGATTTGTATAGTAAGATTTGTATTTATATAATTATAAATGTATAGGACGAAAATATATGTATTTGTATTTGTATATACACTTTTATCTCGCTTTATACAAACACAAACGCATTTTATACATTTTATACTGAAATGTATAAAATGACTAATTGTATACCGAAAATGGCTAATTGTATACCGAAAATGGCTAATTGTATACCGTATCAAATGGCAAAAAATTGGAATGTTTGCTGCGAATTACAAATAAAATAAACTATGACTATAACATTTAATTTGAATTAATAGTTTGTTATTTCATACAGTTTTCCCTATTTTTGTTTCCCACCAGGTGTCTGGAGCCCACATTAAAGCTCAGACTAAATCAGGATCGCGCTCTACAGGACCCATTCGAGGGTGGCGCTGCCAATATGATTTTTCCATACCCAGGGCTCGAATCCGAGACATCTAATCTTGTGAAGCACTTGAATTCATAAAAAATACAAATAAACGATAAAATAACAAAAGTGTATATCAAATATCGCTATCATAAAAATGTAACAGTTATTTTCGATAAATCATATAAAAGTTAAATCCAATTAGTAAAAGTAGCAAAATAAAGCTACGTAATTTTCATAAAATTCTTTATTTACATTAAATTTATTTCTTATCTTATTTAGCATGATTTATTGGGACACCCAGCCTATTCCTTTTATTTTTGATTTCTCATTTGATGCTCAATCTTCATATGAGAGTCTGACTAAATTTCAATTCGCAATAGAAAGTTCCACATTAAGGAAAAAATGCTTTCTAAAAAAGACGACTTCATATTTTAGACGATTCAAATCCGAAAAGATACCACTCCGTCGCAACGTTTTTTTATTATTCTTATCCATAGCCACACCATTTTCAAGGACAAGAAAAGCAAATGAAAGTTTTATTTCATTATTTTATTTTACAACGTAACGTATATATAAGAATATGCCATAGCGGGAAAAGGACGCGGACCTCGAAAATCACCCATAACGTTACAATTTTTCTGTTAACCACTCATAATACGCCACGAATGTCTGAATACAGCTGTCACCCCCTTCACCAAAACCCGCAGACAAAACTTGAAAAACAGTAAATACACACGTTTGATTGGTCCACGTGTACAGCAACACTTTCAACTCCTGTAAAATCTAGCCGTTTGCCCTAACTACTCTTTCTTCTTTTTCCCCACTTTCTGTTTCCGCCATTGTAGTGTCCAAAAAGAAAAGAAAAAAATCAAGAATGGGGAAACTCATCTGCGACTCAACAGCATCGTCGCCGGTGATTCCATGGCGGGATCCTACCTCTACTCCCTCATCTATCGACCTCGTTGACCAATCATCGACGGCGATCACCCCTGTCGCCGTCGTTGATACCTCTTCCTGGGAAAATGTTTCATCTTTAGAGGACCAGCAGAGAAAGCATTTGACAAAGATTCAGTCTAAGGGAGTGCTGTGGAAACATCCTCAGGATCAGAACGTTTCCATGGTTTTCCGGCTGAGCCACGGCGGAGAAGTCGAGGCAGACGGAAACTGTCTTTTTACGGCTTGTGGGAAATCAATGGGAGTTAAAACGGTGTCGTGCGCGAGAGATCTGAGACGGCGGACAGTGCGGAGGTTCCTTGAAGATCTTGGATCGGAGAAAGAAGCGATTGAATCGGCGATTAAGCACATGTATTCTCCGGATCTGAAATCTGGTTGGGGTATTCATGTGGTTCAAGAGTTGAAGCTGTTAGCTAAGAAGGACGATAGAGAGGTTCTGGAATCGGCTATTTCCGAGCTTGTTCACCTCGGAATGCAGCGGTATTTTCCTATCCATTTCGCCTAATTATTCATTTTATTCTCATTAGGGATTGATATTTGTTAGATCTGGATGAGAAAGTTTAGATCTGGTTCATTCCGCTGACTATCATGCATTTTGCCATAGAGAATAATTTTCTTTGAAGTGGGAATTGCTTTTATGTGTAATTCATTTGATACGAAGAAGAAATCAAATCTTTGTTTGCTAGGTTTTCAGCACTGTCTGTATCTGCCCGGAAAAGATTTTCAAAACTTTGCTTTTTCTGGTATAGGTGAAGCAAGTGTAAAATTGAATGAGTCGCTTTTAAAATTTTATTGGATATGGTTGTGTTTTTGACAATATTTTTTTTGACATTGAAGAGAATTGGCTGCTGAGTCTATATACAAAGAGAGATGCATAGCTGTGGATGATGGCCCAAGTTGGGCCAAGTACATGTCAATTTCTGGTTCGCCTGATGATGAATATGATATCATCACTTTGCAGTATACGGAGGAGGGCTTATTAACTGTAGATGAGAATATTGATGGTCATGCGGCTGCATTTGGAGACGATATAGCGATTGAGTGTCTTGCAACCGTGTTTAAAAGAGAGATCTTTGTGGTAAGAAACTGATCTTTTTCTTTTGCATGAACAATTGCTTGCTCTTGAATAATTGCCACCTGTATTAGTTTGCACAATAAGGTTTCACAATCAGCGCATACATTCTTTGAAGGTATAACAGTATGCAATGTATTTCAAATGGTGCTATTCAGGCTTTTCTCTATATGAAGCTGCATAATTTGATAAAAGACAATGTCATGAGAGCAATAGGCGATGACATCCATGAGAACAATGCTAATGAAAGTAGGATGTTTAGGAAGATTATCTTGCTAGTGGATGTGCCCGTTCCCCATTCCTTAATTTGTAACGACAACAGACATTGATAAAGCGAGTTTAGCTATTCTTTTCATATGTTCTTTTTTGTTTATTGATAAATAAGAGATGATCCCACCAAAGGATTTTGATAGATTGTGTGCAAGTTCTTTCTCAACTCCTATGTTCCTTACAGTTTCTCAATTGTGTGATGTTGGATTGTTTGTTAATCAAACAATTTTTTTCCTAAGTTTTTCTGTCGGTATATAATTATTAGGTGCAAGCACATGGATCCGACGCAATGGTTAATGAAGAAAATTGTGTCTTCTTTCTCCCACATCGTCCCAAATGTGAAATATGTGAACCTCCTTTCTTCCTTTTCATGAAAGGAACAGGTACAGAAATTTTTGCAATGAAAGATCCTACTGCTAATATTTTATGATTTCCCATCTGAGATTGTACGTTGGCAATTGCAGGTTGGTGTGGTGCTGGGGCTGATCATTATGAGCCTCTTATTGCTACTCCTTCAGCTTATGTTTCCCAGGAAAAGGTAGCATTGGTACTGTAGGTCATTAGTTTGAGGTGTTCTTGTGGTAAGAGAGGTAGTAGTTAGTTATTCAAAGAGAATTGTTTTTCTCCCCCCAGGATATTTGGTTTTCAATTGGAAAGATGTTCCCGATTCTTTTCTAGGTTTAAGGAGGAAGATGTCCAATTGGGACATCAAATTTTTGTTGAGGGTATGTAGGATTTGGTGTATTTCGAAGTCCATCATCATCAGGCTTGGTTATATTTAGTTGTGTTGCCGGCTCGTTTTGTTGTGCATTTTTTTGAGGCTAGTTGTAGTTGGCTGCTGGGGTACTATATTCACTATTCTTTTGATAGCTGGAATAGGACCACTTATTTTGTTGTAACTGGGTGCTGAATTCCAATCTTAACAAGGACATGGCTTCTCTTTTCATGTCGGTTCCTGTTTCTTTTCTTTCCTCTTCTAGTTTTGTTAAATCTGATTTGAACACCATTAAGTATCTTACTAAATGGTATCTGACGTACCTCAATTCCCGACTTAGAACAATTATGAAGTTCTTAACATTTCCGGTAATACAAGAATGGTGAGTATTACTAACAAGTAACAGCTCAATAACAAGCTAAAGATCATATATGCAACAAATCAAACTCTAAATGAGTGGCAAGCTTGTACGACCCTATAATCATTAGTGTTTTTGGATACCCTTCCATTTTGACTCAATTACAACATCACAATACTCTCTTCTCTAAGCTTCATGACACAGAACAACCCTTTAACTTCCTTGTACAAATATCAAAACTTGAACTCATAGAAGAGTTAAGGACTTACAAAACCTTTAAAATTTCTTCACTTAAGGTGGTGGTTGGCAAGAATTTGTGGTGTGCGGTCGGCCGGAGATCGGAGTCAATGGGACTCTCGCAGTGAAAACTCCAGCGATTTGGGGAGACGAAGAGGCAAGCAATTGAAATGAACTAGCACTATAAACAAAAATCCAATTAGCTATGAACTTTGTCGTTAAATTGCTTATAACTAATAAGATTTTGTGACAATTCGTTGCTAAATTGAATTAGCAATAAATTTTGTTATTTAGTTACAAAATTTATATATCGTTAATTTCTAGTCATATACACGTGGTTAGTGTAAGAAATATAGAAGAGTCGTTCCAATATATTGTAACTGTATATGTGTATATCAAACCTATCAATTCTACGACTAGCCATTTTTCCTAATTTATTTAATTATGTAGAAACAAAGAATGTAAGTATTTTCCATCAATATCAATAATTACAGCAGATCATAGTCCACGTCTCATATTAAATTAAACTAAATACACGCCCATACCACTATACTAATATTTGATTTTAATTTGGACCACATTATCATATTGTGACGTTGGCAAGCTTCTGAAAAAGGAGTGCACATAACGCTTTGAATAATTTCATTTCGAAACGAAAAAAGAAAATTAGGAACTTTATAAGGATACATTCAGAATCAACAGTTGAGGCGTAACACCGCCTTTTGAATTAAAATCTAAGAGACAAATTTGTGTTGGTCTAGATTCAAATCAAATAATATCTTAACCGTGGACCGAAATCAATACACATATATATATATATTGATAAATTATAATTAATCTATTGGCATACAATCATACATCATTTTTTTCAAAGCTTATCCTCTAATTTAAGATAGAAAAAAAGGGGCCCTGGGGGAAGAAAGAAGTTTGAAGATTTTGACTGATTTTTGAACAATTTAATTGTATTTAATTTATAATCACGTATATCAATTATTGTGATTGAGACAATACAAAGGATGTCACTGAAAGCTACTTGTCTTGTCCCTTACGCGGTATTTGATTGGATATAAAATTTAAAATATCAGACACAATTATATGTACATCGTAAAATTTGATGACATGTTGGATATTAATATATTATAAAATTGCTAGTAAAGAGAATATAATAGTATATAAATTATTTTTGAAGTGTTTTAATTTGATCTATCCAATTTCACCAAGCAAGTTGACATTGATGATTGAACTAGCTTGTCAAGTTCATCATTTGATGTTTTGTTTTTTTCAAGATAGAAGTTGTTTTGATGTGGTTCTTGAGTAGATGAAATGATTAAGCCAACCATAAAGTTGATTTCCTCTTATCTAATGTAAGAAAGTCATAAAAATCATGAGGAATAGATAAAAACGAATTCAGAATTTCGTGAGTTCAGTTGAATTCATTATTTTCGGTTCAAAGTATAGATGTATACATATACAGAAGAAATTTAAAAATATATATGCTTATAATAAGTGGAATTCTTGCATTCAGTTCATTGGAACAACAATATGTTAAGAATATCTGTGTTAAGTTTTAATCCGACAACTGGATTTAAAGTCAATGAATTAGCGAGCCAAGTGTATGGAGCTGATAGAATGATGACGTAGAGCCCGACTTAGTGTATTTAGCCGTCTATGAACTTTGCAGATGTATACACAAGAAAAAGCTAGTGGCTTTGGTGATCATAAAAACTCGATTGATGTGGGTAATGTCACACAATTAATCTTCAAATTCACCTATGATTAGTGATGGACTAATTTAAACATAAATTCACATTTAAATTAGCAGACTTTTGTAACAGAGATTATATATTGATTATATATGATATACACATATTATATATATATATACGATTAATTAAAATTTAAATGGTCGGATGAACGGCTATTTAGATTAATTCTTCTCATAAACATATTGAACAACAAAATGGGCTTTCTACAAATTCAAAAACAAATGTCAGGCCCATTGGCCCAAGGAGAAATTTCTATTTTCTGGTAGACTTCAAAGATTTATAAATTTTTTTTTTTGCAGGATTTGAAGTTTGAATTATAGTGAAGTAGTTCCAATTTAGACTTAGCAAAGGTAAAAATCTAAATTATTTTTGTCTTTTTTCATCTCTTTTTTTAAGTTATTATTTTTAGTTGATTGCCAAGTTTTTATGAGTTCTTGATTCAACTGGCTTTGCTGTGTTATGGGGTTTAAAGATTCTGCAAAAAAAATAAAAAATCAATTTGTTGTTCTAATTTATATCTCATTAATGATGTGATTAGGATCTCCAAGTTGAGTTTTTTTTTCCTTAAATAGTTGAAAAGATTGTACCTTTGCTCTAAGTTTAGAGGCAATTAAGCAAATTTGGGACTTTTTATGTGTTTGGTCATTTTCGAGCTAAGAATATGTATACAAATACAATAACAACACATCCAGTGTAATCTCACAAGTGGGGTTTGGGAGCGTAGCGTATACGCAGACCTTACCCTACCTCAATTGTTGGATATACTAATGACCTGCTGAATTTTTGGGTTATGCTAAAATGCATACAAAGAGTGTGACAGTAGAAGATGCAATAAGATCTAGGCTTGAAAAAAAAAAACACGAGGTGATTTCTCTCCACCTGCATAAGTCATGGTGGCAGAGTTATCTAGTATTTGTGTTGGTGGGAGGTAGTAGGTATCTGGTGGAATTAGTCGAGGTGTGATTGAAATGCAATTTATATCTAGGTTACATGCCCCGCAGATGTGTGTTTAGCTGCCATGGCCTTAGTATCGGAGCTGCTCATCGATGCTTGAATTTGGATAGATGAAATCCTAAAGCATAAGTATATTGGATGTCTATGATCTTGAAATGTCATTGCTTTTCTCTAATGATGAAATGTCCTATGGATTTACTCTTTAGTGCTGTTCATTTTGCCTATCTTTAGCAGAATACGCGAGTTAAACACTGTCTGGTGTTGCATCAATTCCATTTTGATGAATATATCGATCCTAATTCCTACCTATCCTAAAAAGGTAGGAATCCGATATACTTCACAGTAATATACTTGCAAACAATTATATGCTTATCTATTCAGTGTATTGTCTTTTTACATTTATGTTAATAACAGGAAGTTCCTTGTTGGATATCGTCAAGCTCATGTTAGAGAAAACTAGTTTCAGCAGAAATTTGTATTGAAATGACTGTCTAGGCAGTCGATGATTTGGAACTGATCTTAGATAAAAGGTGTCGTTATACGTTTCAATTACACAATGTGGGAAATCATTTATTTCATTCTGATCATATAAAATGTGTTATCTCATACTTTTCCCTTAAAACAATAGAATAATTATGGTACATTCTCTTCATTGAAAACAGAACATGTTAAACGTTTGGTGATATATAGATTTGTTCGTACAAACATTTTCCGCAACAATTTTTCCAGTTTGTACATGCTAATTCATTCTGTAAGTTGTCCAATATCCGAGGAAAGATGTACCAGAGCTTACACCTAAGCTGATCTTCATTTTTGCTTGCTAGTATGATAAGTCCTTAGATTTGTCGTTTGCAGACGTATGAAATAAGTACATTGTTCGGGGAAATTTTCATTTCAAGATGAAACACTAATATATGTCATATGATGTGTGATGCAGTATCAGTCTGGAGATAGACGATTCTGAAGAATGGATTCCGAGCTGGTACTACATACCGGTGGATGTCACTGTAAAAGAGTAAGATGGCGAGTCTATGCACCATCTAGCATTGTTGCGTGGGATTGCAACTGCTCTGACTGCTCCATGAGAAGAAACACACACTTCATAGTTCCTTCGGAGAGATTTGAACTTCTCGGAGACTCCAAGGATTTCATTACAACCTATACATTCGGTACTCACACAGCTAAACACACCTTCTGCAAAGTTTGTGGCATAACTTCATTTTACATTCCACGATCGAATCCTGATGGAATAGCTGTTACTTTGAGGTGCGTTGATCCTGGTACGCTAACTCATGTTGAGATCAAATGTTTTGATGGGCAAAATTGGGAAGGCTCGTTCAAGCAAACTGGCATTGCTTCGTGCTCAAAGACAACGGATGAAGATTCAAAATGATATCGATTTTTCGGTTTGAAAGCCAGAAGCATAATGTAACACTTGATCAAGTTTTTCTTGATTCATCTTCTCTATCTGTTGTAGACAAATTTGTATTGTTATCAGTTGAATTCATACTTGAAAATGATGTCAAAGGACGTATTTTTAATCAAATTTTTATTCAGCAGAATGATTGATCACTTGTGTATGGCATGAATTCTGTCTTCTTTTTTCTTTCAAGTTAATGGTGCGAGTTTCATAGCTCAACGATGCATTGTTCTATTTACTTATCTAAACTATCTCTCCATTTGTATTAAAACACACTTCGATATTAAGTTGGCCTACAGGTGTTGTCGATTG